GACGCACACGGACAGGATAGGGCTGTAGTCTGCAGTGTCGCTATTCCTCACTCCCACTTCCTGAAGGACTTCAGCTTTTATCTTTCTTAACTCTCAGAAATACCGAGCCCCTAGGAAAATGGAGATCACTCTGCCCTCCCTGAGTGACCAAGGATCTCGATCCACGTGCAGAATTCATTAGGCTCACACTGAGGGCAAATGCCTATGCCTGGTGGCCAGCAGGACACTGTGATTAAGGGAGAGGGACCAGAAGGATTCGGAGCCCACTGGACGGTCCTCTGTGCATTGGCATCATGAGTTTACAATGTGCTTTCTAGCACACACACAGGTCAAACCATTTAACATTTTCATACATTGGCATCGTGAGTTTACAATGTGCTTTCTAGCACACACAGGTCAAACCATTTAACATTTTCATCTCACTCTCAAAGAGCTAATGTGTAATCTAAAATACGAACTAGTCAAACAGCAGCAGCTGGGGACCAGCAGGTGGCATGGTGGTTAATACACTGGAATTCCCACATGGCCGATTGCAGTTTGAGTCCCGGACCTGGTGGCTTGCTTTCTCTTCCTCTCTTTCTTTCTCTGGCAAAATTCACATGACAATAATGATAAATAAATTAAATAATTCATTAAAAAAAAAAAACCAGCAGCTGACCTACTGTCAGAAATACTCAGGTGAGCATGTAAATGGCCTTGAAGCTGTGTCTTTTTTACTTTGTATAAGCTACGTTGGGTTTTTAGCACTACTTAAAACAACAACTGCTGTACGGACAGGGTAGTCTGCTTGGTGACTACTATTTTGAAGTGAGGTTCAAAATTTAACTAAAAAGAGTTTCTCTCCTTTTTTTAAAAAAAAATATATTTTATTTCACTTATTATCACCATCATTATTTGTTTCATTTGACCAGAGAGAGGCAGAGAGAAGGAAAGGTAAAGTAGGAAAGCAAGCCTCCGGGTCCGGGACTCGAACTGCAGTCAACATGTGGGAGTCCAGCGCCTCAACCACCACACTACCTGCCAGCCCCAAGAGTTCTCTTCTTTTTTGGGAAAAAAAAAAAAAGTTTTTTCACCAAGCAGACTGTACACCCTGATCACATAAATAAGCATTATTAACAAACTCATAAGGTGAGGATGACCCAAGAAAATGAGTGGCCAAGTCCACACTTCCTTATTCCACAGGGCTGGTCTTAGGAAAACTACAACTCACCCAGCGTTGGGGTCATGTTGCCAACCACGATGAACTCAGGAATCTCTAATCCAGGAGCATATCCAGCCGTCCAGACAACAGAGAGAGGGCCGAACGTGCCTCTTCTAGAAATCGTAACTAGGCTCGTGCCAGCAGTGATGTCCATGAGTGGAAAAGCAGTGGATTCAAACCCGACCTGAGGAAAACATGATTAGAGTATTTTGTTCCTCCCTAAAGCGTCCTGTTTCTTGAAGAGTGGATTAAATGTCACCTTTCCCTTTGTTGATACAATATAATTTCTTGCATTACTATACATTCAATAAAAAGAAATTCTTTAGAAATATTCTCTCTGGGGACCAAAATGTCCCCTCAAAAAAAGAGAGATAACCTCTCAGATTTATAAACTCATTCTTGATCATTCCAATTATAGTTTACAGCTCTCTCTTTTTTCATCAAAAGGTAATCCTTTGGGGACCAGCAGTTAGCGTAATGGCTATGTCGCTGGACTCCCATGTCGCCAACTGCGGTTCGCGTCCTGGACCCAGTGGCTTAAACTCACACCAGGCGCATGTGCATGCGTGCCCAAGATCCCAAGAGGAGAATGGAGGAGAAGGGATTGTGGCATGGCCACCCCCCAGGGGGGGGGTTTTTTGCTTCATCTCTGTCCCTCACAACAGGCTTAAAACTCACAACAGGCCCATGTGCACACGTGCCCAAAATCCCAAGAGGAGAGACTTAAGGAGAAGGGATTGCAGTGTGGCCATTCCCTTGGGGGGCAGGGGGTGATTTCTTGCTTTCTGTCTCTCTGTCTCTCTTTGTCTCTCCAGTGAGCACACACACCCTATAGTAAAAATCTCTCTCTCTAAAAAAAAAAGAAAAGAAACTTCAGCTGACTCAAGAAAGAGTATGATGGGATTACTTCTCATAATGGCTTCAAAACTACACATATTTCCATACCAAGAGAAAACAGCCTTGCCTTCTTCCTATATTGATGGAATTTGCCTAAAAGGAAAGTAACCCCCTCAAGTGGTTCTGTTTTCAGGTGAATTTAGGAAGTGACTGGGAAATGATCTTTCCCACAATAAACTCAGAAGATTCAAATACTTAGATGCAAGCATCTTACATCTGACCACAAGCTTTTATCTACATCAGCACATACTTGCCACAGCAAGCCAAAGGCAAAACATTAAAGATAAACATATACAACACAAAAGAAAAAGTCTGAAATATGAATTTAATATACACTTAATAAATCTGATTCTAATGTAACTATTTAGTATAAAATATCTCAATATTAAATATTCAGTATACAAAAGGCCTGGGCCAGGCAGGTGGCATGGTGGGTGAGGCAGCTGGATCCCACACGGCCAACTGCACAGTTCAAGTCCCAAACCTGGATGCTTGAAACACACACCAGGCATGTGTGTGCATGCCCCAAATCCCGAGGGCAGAATGGAGGAGAGGGGACTGCAAAGTGACCATCTCCGATGAGGGAGGGAGATGCTTTCTCATTTTCCCTCTCTCTCTGTCTCTCCATCTCTCTCAGGCAAGTACCTGCTCCCTAGAGGTAATTACAAAAATGACCTGAAGGGATCAGGAGATGGTGTAACGGTTATGTTGCTGGACTCCCATGCAGATGACCACGGTTCGAGCCCCAGACCTGGGGGCTTAAAACTCACACTGGCTACATGTGCGTGCATTCCCAAAATTCTGAGAGGAAAATGGAGGACAAGGGATTTGGGTGTGGCCATCCCCCAGGGAGGGGTGGACTGTGATTTCTTTATGTCTCTCTGGTGAGCACACACACCCTATAGCAAGAATCTCTAACAAAAAAAATGACCTAAAAATTTTTATTTCAAGGGAGGTTATTTTAAAATGTCTGTACATTATATTCAAATTCTGCAAGATACAAACTTTCTAAAATCCTAAAAAGGAAACCTGTTTTCTACCTAATGTTGAAAATGACAAATCATTTTTAATAGAAAATATCCATTATGTCTACTTTCACATTTACAGGACCACTTAAACTTAAGCAAATGAAGAAATTCCCTAATATCTTCTTTCTCATAAAAGCTGCCCTCTAGTGGTTCGTAGGGAGTACTACACCCAGGGCGAATTACCTGAGAGTTGGCAGCTTTCTCAGGGACAGGAAGGACAGCGGATTTAGCCTCCTGGAGAATTGCTGGCATTCCAAAGAAACGTCCACCAATGAGCCTCACGGTTACCAGCTGCACAGTGAAATTAGAGCCCAGTGACAGAAAGACCTATAAACAAAGAGAATTAGGTTTTTTCATAGTAAGGACTAGTTTTCAGAGAAAAATTACTAAAAATGATTAGCCCTCTGACCTGAGTCATTAGCACACAGAGGAGGTTTATTAGCAAACCATTTCATGGATGTATGCCCTGGATCCTTTGTCAAAAAACCACCAGTATTCAGAGTGTGGGCTGAAAAGAGGTAGTTGTTGAGTATAAAAAAGACAAATTTCCCACCCAAATAGCCTCAACAAGGACAGAAATACCAGAAATAGTGTCCGTGGTGAAATCATGTGTCTGGAAAGAGCACAGTGGTGAACAGTGTCCAAGTCTGAAACCCAGCAAAACTTACCTTCCACTTCACTGAGTAGTAACAGTAACTCTGAAGACAGTTACTCAAAATGAATGATTTAGCTGTCCTAATCATTTGAATATTTTGGATAAATAAAAATTACCAACACCATGTGTTAGATTACTAATTTTCAAAATTTCAGAACCCAAAGAAATAGGGAAATCCTGAATTTACAAATTGCTGTTGTACTTATTTTTTAAACTCACAACACATTGTCCTATAGAGATATTAATAACCTCCAAGTTATCACCTAAATCTAGAATATTCCTAAACTCTGCACATCCTTATTAAATGTAAAGGCAGCTATTTCTTTAAAGCCTCTTCTTCTATCAAACGTAATTAAAGACCAAAAGGTGGCATGGTGATTAAGGCGTTGGACACTCCCATATGGCTGACAACGGTTTGAATCCTGGACCCGGTGGCTTGTTTCTCTCTCCCTCTCTCTCTCTTTCTCTCGTCAAATTAAAATAAATGAATGAATAAAAATTATTTTTTAATGTAATGAAATTAACATACATCACATCCACAAACGTGCAAAATATATCCCACAGTGGTTTCAAGTGCACAGCATGGCGGTAACAAATGGATGCTTCATTCCAGATGACATTCGCTGAACGTGAATGACAGGTCAAGGGCTAGAGGAACAAATCCTAGCACTCTAACATCAATCGTGTGCGTTCCACCCTGCCACACGGTGAATCCCTTCCCCCTCAGGTACTGGCAGGACAGTCACTGAGTTTTCAATCCTGATTTCCGAGACAGTCAAGAGCCAGGAGGCAGCTCAGAGCACAGGCACTGTGCCTTCCCACTGAGCTCCTCGGCTCACAGGCCCATCCAGTACACACAGACTGTGCGATGTCACAGATCCTCAGGGTGCAGTCATCAAACATTAAAGCCATACATGAGCAGTGGGAGTTTGGGATTCAAACCCTGGCCCCAGCTTTGAAAAGCACGCTGGGTGTGTGTGCGTATGTGCCAAAATCCTGTCAAAATGGAGAAATGGTGAGAGTGTGGTACGATCACACTCCACCGTGGGGGAGGGGAGGAGTGTTTTCTCTTCCTCTCTCTCTGCTGAGTGCATGTACTTTCTGGCAACTTTAATTTAATTCATTCATTTAATGAATTGATTTTAGAAGAAAGTGATAAAGCAGAAGAACCATGACCTTGAATCGACTTCCCAGGAAACTTCCCAGATGGATGAGTGAGTATAAAACCTATGTCTCACTAATAAGCCTCCATTTTTCTCTTGTATTAAACCATGTAAGTAAGCATGCAGATAGACTGGGTCGTCAGGGAAGTCATGGTGAATTTTTGCATAGAAAAATACATTGTAACTCTCCCGTCGACCTATTACAGACTATGAGAAGGTTGCATAGCAGGTATGAATTAGTGTAATAGGTTTGCTGCTTATTCTGAATGACAACGTATTTTCAATTGATTCGATGTTTATATGAAACTTATTGTAGATGAAACAAACAGGAAAAGGTTTCAGTTCTCTCCTGTGGGTGTTCTGTGAGGTTTCTTTCATTACACTTTGACACTACTGTGGGTAGATCTGGAAGCTTTCTGTCACTTTCAGGAATGGACAGAATCAGTTTTATAAACATTAAAATTTTAATCTCCCTTTCAGTTAACGCCTCCCTGTCTCTCTCAGTTCTTGCTTGAACCGCTTGAACTGCAGTGGGGAAGGGATGTTGTCATTTTTCAATACTCAAATCCCTGTTGGAAGTTTCCATCAATCTGGCACTTGCAGGGTTGGGGCAGGTGTTAGGTTCTTAAGATAGAAAGACGGAAGTCTGGCCACGCTGCTTCGTTCCTTTCTTGGCTAGCACTGGCTGACCACCATACCTCCATGAAAGGAGCACTCAAGCGCTAGCTCTTTCCCAGGACTGATCTGGGTGTTCCTCTCAGGTGTTAGAATTCCACTTTCACCATTCTCAACAGACAATACACTCTCGTGACCCTCTGCTTCTCTCAGAGCTTCACAACGCACCTTCACATCTTTCTCAAAATGGCTACCCTCTTTCTTAACCGTGAGCTAATGGATCCCCAGTGCCATAATGTATTCAGCACGTGAGATAAATGTATTCTCTCCCATGCGCACAGACGGGTATGGTATTAATGTACTAGTAATCCCTAGGATGAGTAAGGAAAATAGTCACTCAAGTAACTCCTTGGGGGTCGGACTTAGGAAGGATGCTGGGCTAACTATGCAAGCCACAGGAAACCCGCACATTCTTATCCCTCCCAACTGTGTTGGTAACACAGTCTGCCACCCTCTCTGTTCAATACCATCTCAGAAAATCACAACTTCTGTTCTGAACTTTCAAGGAGAGAAGCAGGAAGCAGTCTCTATATTCATGTAGCCCCTCCAGACCACAGAGAAGACGCATCAGTCTCGTTGCATCACCCTTTGGAAGGCCCCACAAGGAAGCCTACGAACTTCTCCCCTTTAGCAGGAATCTCAGTGAGTGTGCGCAGATGTGTGTATGTGTGCGTGATTGTTTGGTTGGATGGGTGCAGATGTACATGGCTCAGAAGAGTTTCTAGAACCCTGTAAGTACTGCTACCATCTAGATAAACATATATTATGTCTAAAGAGAAATGGATATACTTCATTATAATCTGCAAATTATCCAGTAACTACAATGCTTTGTCTAAGGCATTTTTCATAGTTACATCTGAATAGGACTGTTTTTATCTGGATATATGCTTAACTATATATTTAAACAAGGCTTTATTTTCCTTTTCTGTATTTCTTAAAGTTCTTGCCATAAGGTGAATGCACATGCCAGAGAGAGACAGAAAGACAGAGGCAGTGACAGGGAATGCAGAAGATCCTCCCCCGAGGGGGCGTCATACTGAAATCCCTTCTTCTCCACTATACTCCTGGGATGTCGGGAACACAGGCGCAGGCACACACACCCAGCGGGATGTTTCAAGCTACCAGGTCTGCTACTGGAACAACAGTCGGCCATGAGACAGTCCAGCGCCTTAACCACCACACCACCTGCTGGCTCCAAGACTTTATTTCTCATGGTCATCTCTCAGTAAAACTAAAGTGATCATGAGATAAGTCAGGGCTCTCCTGAAAGAGTTAGGGAACTGAACAAATGCCACAAACCTCATTTTTTATTGGCACTGTGTCAACTTCGTATCTGGCACCATCTTTGACCACCAGCTCCCTCTCTGCGTTTTCAGTAACCATCGGTCGTTCTTTATGATCAAACAGTATTCGAAATCCAACAGCCACATCTCCGAATGTTCCAGCAAGCCGGGTTATGTTAATTTGGATGGATCTCATAAGGTTCTGCCCTATAAGGATTGACTGGTGATCTGAATACAGAGCAAACACTCCATGTGGCTCATCATTTGCAGAAACAGAGAACCATGTGATGCATTTTTCTGGATCTAGGTCTGCTCCTCCCTTCACAGAAACAAGCTGGACCATATAATCTTCCTCTATCTCAGGCATATCATCCGGTAGCAAATGCACATCAAAACTTGCTTCACTCTCTCCATCAGCAATGGCCAAAAATCCACTTGTGGAAAGGAAGTCTCCAGTGATATTAAACTCACTACTCAATTTCCAGTAAACCTAAAATAAACAGAAATCCAACAGTTACATGATTCAGTGTATTGAACTAAAATTCTCTAAATTATGTTTCCCACTATAATGTACAGAAAAAAATTCTAATTGTGTATCACCGGATTCTCAAAGGACATGTTAGTGTGGAAACTAAATTAGCTTTTTCAAACTGTCATAAGCTATTTGCAGGACACGATTACAAAATCTCATTATTTCTCCTGCTTCTAAAATAATAGCATACTTTCAAGAGATAAAAAGCAAGATAACTTTAAAATGAAAATTCTATAAATATTCCCATTAATAAACCATACAAAATATTTGAAGGCAAAAAGTAAGTAATTAATTTGACAATTCACATCAGAATTTGCTTTTTTTTTTAAATTCAGATATTATGTTTAATTACCTGCTAGATCATCAGATGGAAACACGTGGCAAGTGAATGGGGACACAGTTAGATCACTTTAGGTTTAGACATTCACCAGATTAGACAATTTTTTAACATTTAAAATAAAACTTTTTGACATGAAAAACAAAGAAATATATTAAAACTTTTTCCAGAATTGTCCAAATTACTTTTTAGACACAATTCAATTTTTGTTATATTTCTTTAAACATCAAGGGTTTTTTTGGCAAATCTATCCAAAATAGTGTTTCCGTTTAGAACTGAGTTTGTGTAAGTGTGCCCTAAAACCATGTCCTACCTTAAAGGAAGGTAACCTTCCTTTAGTCATCTTCCCTCTAAAATGTGTATCTCTTAATTAAGTTGTCATTCTCAAAGAAATTCTGGAGAAAAACTTATGAATTAAACGCTTATAAATTCTTCTTCACTTCTGTTATAGTGTAGCGATTTATCATCTAACCCATAATGGGCTGTCAGTTGAGTCAGGCTTAGTTTCTTGTTCTCTCAGACATAGCTGACTGCAACTCATACAGAAACAGCTGACTGCAGCTTCTCCACTTCTTTATTAACAACTGGAATTGAGACAGGTCGTTCTTTGATCTCTACATTTTGACTAGTTTTAGCCTCCGAAGAAGGTCTTCTTTCTCCTGAATCTGCTTCATCAATTTTGCTTTTTTTTCATCTAATGCTTGTTTAACTCTCCTTCAAAAAATTATTTTGAAAAGCATCTGTATCAAGTGATTTTGATTCACATGTACTGATAATCTTTTTTTTTTTTTGAGAGGTTTTTTGTTATAGGACGCGTGTGCTTGCCAGACAGAGAGAGAGAGAGAGACAGAGAGACAGAAAGCGAGAAATCACCCCCCAAGGGAGATGGCCACGCCGCAATCCCTTCTCCTCTACTCTCCTCTCGGGATCCTGGGCATACACGCACATGCGCCCAACATGAGTTTAAGCCACTGGATCTGGGACTCGAACTGCAGTCAGCTACATGAGAGTTCAGCGACATAGCCATTACGCTAACTGCTGGTCCTGCATGTACTGATAATCTTGAAGGCATTTTTCAAATGTGCATTTTCTTCAAATTCTCTGTCTATGTTTAAACTTTCTTGAAATTCCAAACAATTTTCTTCCATTGAAGATGCTGGTTTCTCTGAAAAGTCTGACCACTTTCTTCATGCTCTCCTTTAAGACACTTTACCACATTACAGTGGGAATTAAATGAAGACCTTGTTTTCCTTAATTTTTCCCTAAGTGTGGCAGTCATAGGTTGTTTTTGTGAACTATGTGTATGGGGTGAGGGTGGATCCACCCAGGCCTGTGGAGTGCCAGGTAAAACCACAGGTGGGTCTGAAAGACTCTCCATCTTGAAAATGAAATCTAAGTTTAGCTCTTCCCGCATAAGTACTATCAGTTTTCTCATGGCAAATTCACAGGCTCCCTCTGCTTTTTTTTTTTACTAATAAAAGAGACTATTTATAAGAAATCAAGAATTAATCACTATTTTCCAAGAATTGGCCAAATTGTGAAGTTTCAACTGAGAAAGTACCAGTTAGTCTCCAATACAGGAAGAGAAATAAGTATACAGATAAATTTCACAAAATGTGTTTTTTCGGCCAACAAATTTCCTTCATCTGTTAGGAATCAAGTCATTCTTTCCTGATCCATGTCATGAAGACTAAAAAGGGCATCCCAAATTACTTCATATCAATATACACACAAAACCTCTTAAAACAGTTGCAAACTAGAAAAATTCTATAAGAAATAAAGCCCTAAAGAATATATTAAGAACTTACCAAAAAAAAAAAAATTGAGAAGCTTAAGTATCAATAGTAAATAATTCACACTATAGCAAATAATAAAACACAAGCTACATTAGCCCTTCATGATTCAGTGTGAAGATCTTTCTGAACTAATTATAAGCAGATTTAATTTAGAGAGATAGCTAGGAGTTCATGCCAGATGGAGAGCCCAGAGGTGTTTAAATGAAAGGTCTAAAGCTCTCTGAAAACTCATGCACCTTTCTTTGGTTTATCAAAAACTTTAAGCAGAAACATACAGTTTCTTTGTCTCTCTCAACACCGTTTATTAGGCAAGAAGATGGTTCCCCACTTAAATCAAAGGAAACACTATACCATGATGTCTCCAAAAGAGCCCATCACTCTTTTGACAAAGAAAGTAATGATCAGGGTCCCTTCCAAAGCTGATGGCTCCGAATAGGTCTTTTTCGATAAAGACTCAGGAGCAAACTGAACAATTCCGTTTGGATTCCCAAACTTGTGTATCTAAAAATATAAACAGAGAATAAGTTAAACAATACGTAGAACAATTATGGCTGAAGTTATAGTATTTAACATTTTTTAAAAACAGGTAGGTTGAGAAAATGGGGGGAAAAATAGGGAAATGATATTTGAATTTACCTAGCTATTTGGTTTGCTAAGGTCTTATCTACATGGGTTTGATTACAGAAACCAATAAAGTATTCTCTAAATAATGAAAAAAAAAAAAAAAAAAAAAACTCTACCGACCATTGTCTAAAACCAGGAGGTTCTTACTTCCCAAACAAAGTAGGAGTAAGAAAAATACAATACGTGGAATGTAAAGGTCAGTACTTTGATGTTCATTTTAGCTAACTTCTTTTTACTAGTTATGCTATCATATGGCACGAGGCACAAGGCTCCGTGAAGGTTCATTTTAGGTAACAACTTGGGAAGGCTCGGTGCCCAGCCATTTGGTCCACACTAGCCTAGGAGCTGTTGCGAAGGTTTTCTGTAGGTAGGGCTAACGCTTAGTATCAGTTGACTCTAAGTTAAGGAGATTACCTTCGATAATGTGTGAGTTACGACCAATAGATTGAAAGCCTAGAGAGAAAAGCTGAGGTTTCTGGGAGAAGATGGAACTCTGCCTTAACACTGTGACTCAGGGATTCTGCTTGGCTTTGCCACAAAATTCAAACTCAATACCAAACGTCAACTCTTTTTAAAGTTTCTGATCTTCAGCCTACTCCGTGGATTCTGGATATGTAAAAAAAAAAACTCTACTGACCATTGTCTAAAACCAGGAGGTTCTTACTTCCCAAACAAAGTAGGAGTAAGAAAAATACAATACGTGGAATGTAAAGGTCAGTACTTTGATGTTCATTTTAGCTAACTTCTTTTTACTAGTTATGCTATCATATGGCACGAGGCACAAGGCTCCGTGAAGGTTCATTTTAGGTAACAACTTGGGAAGGCTCGGTGCCCAGCCATTTGGTCCACACTAGCCTAGGAGCTGTTGCGAAGGTTTTCTGTAGGTAGGGCTAACGCTTAGTATCAGTTGACTCTAAGTTAAGGAGATTACCTTCGATAATGTGTGAGTTACGACCAATAGATTGAAAGCCTAGAGAGAAAAGCTGAGGTTTCTGGGAGAAGATGGAACTCTGCCTTAACACTGTGACTCAGGGATTCTGCTTGGCTTTGCCACAAAATTCAAACTCAATACCAAACGTCAACTCTTTTTAAAGTTTCTGATCTTCAGCCTACTCCGTGGATTCTGGATATGTCAGCTCCCATAATGACGTGGGCCAATTCCTTCAGCTCAGTCTCTCTCTCTTTTGCTGTGTGTGTCTGTGTGTGTCTGTGTGTGTGTGTGTGTGTGTGTGCACATGCACACACGCGTGCATGTGTTCCATTGGTATTTCTCTGAGAAACTCTGATGATGTAAACCCAAAACAAGAGTATTTTTCGAACTTAAAAAACATGTGTCAGCTCTCTGCACTGTTTTCAGTAGCCTTAGTCCACAGCGTTTCCTGCCCTGGTGAACAAGATGGTTCACGAGGAATCCACTGAATTCAGGTCTGATCCGCCCCACATCGTTGTGCTGACGAAGCACAATGACTAATAATCTTCCTTCAAGCTGACTCACAAGGAGTTCATAATTTTTACGTAATTTGGTGACAAAGATAGCCAATGTTCAGAGTGATGTAGCAAATACTGCTGCTCTAAAAGTGCTATATAGTCCCAAGAAAACATAATAGTCTCTAAAGTTGTAAAATAAGTTTATTAAAATGTTCTATGAAAATTCGAATTTTACTAAAACAAAAGTTCTCTATTAAATGCTTCTTTATACTAAATTTGAGCATAAAGTTAAAATTATATGAAGAAAATAACATTTTTTAGACTAGATAAAGTACTATAATAAATTTTCTTTAAAAAATTACCACTAGGCTATGTGATAGACTAACATAAACACCAGGAAGGCTGACTCATCAAATTTATTATGACTCACTTTGGTAATTATAATTATCAATTCATCATAAGCATATAGCATTTTGACAAATGTAAATATATTTTTTGATAAATCCATTAAATCCAAAATTTCATAGGAAAAATAAAGTCAGACTTACTGTTAATGTAACACTTTTAGCTCTGGAGTCTAATTTAGCTTCTCCTTTCACAAGTTTAAGTTTAATAATGAAAGTCTCTTCAACCTCCATTTCTTCATGAGGATAGATTGTCAGAACGATGGTTCTCACTCCACCTTCTCCTTCTCCAAAATAGAAGGACCCATTCACGGGGTCTGCAATGTCTCTGTTCTGGGGTGGTAAGACTTCCTGAGAATTGGGTCCTGCTATCTCCCAGTTAACCTGTGGAGTATTTTGTTTTGCTTTTGAGTTTAATACAGATGATCAGTGTTAATCAAAGAATTACTACAGGATACATAGTATTACTAAAATAACTACAAATGTATAAAATTATTTTAGGATCTCTTTGGCAAATTCATGTTTTATCAAGTAGTATTTTTCGTTAAAAAATCATTGTATTTGCAAATATAAACAACATAACTACAAAATATCACTTGTCATGGATCAAACCACCAAGAAAAGAAAATATTAATACCAGTCACTTCACATCACCACAAGATAACAAAAATATACAGATTTTTACAAAAAAAAAAAAAAAGTTAAGCAAATATAAACATTTAAAAATATGTGAGTAGGGCCAGCAGGTGGCATGGTGGTTAAGTCACTGAACTTCCACATGGCTGACCATGGATTGAATCCCATACCTGGCGGCTTTTTCTCTCTCTCTCTCTGTCTTTCTCTCTCTGTATCTCTCTGGTGAGTGCTCATGCTTTATAGAAAATTTTAAAAATAGTAATAATAATAAATAAAATTACATAATTCTTTTTTTACAATTTGAGTATAACACTGTTTTACTGTGTGTACAAATTCTACCAATCAAAATCTATATAACTAAGACAATAAAGCCACCTGCTTGGTAGGCAGTCTGTCCCAAATATTCTTAAATTCCTAGTGTGAAATGAATAGAAATCTTCATAGGTTGTTACAAGAAACAAATTTTTATGTCTTAATAAATTCATTTTCTGAGTTCTTATCATTTAAAATTGTATACTTTTTATGCTATCGATGAAGGCAGAAAACCAGGCACTTCTATTTGCTTCTTACCTGACCTCTCGTTAGCCTGGGCAGAGCTGAGCACTTGCTTCCTGAGACACCATGTCCTGTCTTGGTTGGTCTGACATCTAGGCTCCCCTCCTACTTTTTAATCTCTTTTGACTTCTCAGTCTGCTGGCTCTCGTTCCTCTGATTCCCAAATGCTGGATACCCCAGGCTCAGCTCTGTGTCCTTTACATCTTTGTCTTCATTCCTTAGGGCCCGTGATTTCAAAGGCCTCCGTCTGTGTCAACCTTCCCCATCTGTGCCTGCAGCCCCAACCACTCCACCACACACACTCCACATCCCTGCCTACTTACTCCCTCAGTGGGATGTCAAAGGATCGCTAATGAACTCGGCCAAAACAGAATTCTTCATTTTTCCCCCCAGGTTCTGCATCTCAGTGTACAATACTATAGCTTATTAGCTGCTCAAACAAAGTCTAGGAGTTATCCTTCATCGCTCTCTTCCCTTCAGCCTCCATTTCTAGCCCAATGAGAGAGAGGTGGGGGGGAGAGTGAGAAAGCACCCCCCACAGAGAATGGTCACACAGTCATCCCTTCTCTTCCATTGCTCCCTCCTGCTGGTTTTGTGGCCAGGCACATGCCTCATGTGTTTATTAAGCCACTGGATCCAGGACTCAAACCACATAGTTGGCCATGTGGGATCCAGCTGCCCCAACCCACCACACCACAGGCTGGCCCATGCTTCCCACTTCTACGCTACTCTACACCTTAGCTTCTTGGCAATACATTCTCCTCACAGCAGCCATGGAGGAGCTACTTTAAATAACAATCCAGTAACATTATCCCCCCCCCCTTAAAACTCTCTAATGGCGGGCCAGCAGGTGGTATGGTGGTTAAGGCAATAGACACTCCCACATGGCAACCACGGTTCAACCGGACCTGGTGGCTTGCTTTCTTACTTTCCCACTCTTTCTCTGTATTTCTCTCTGGTCAAATTAAAATAAATGAACGAGTAAATAAAAACAAAACAAAACAAAACTCTACCATGGCATCCTATTTGCACTTAGAATAAAATCTTCAACCGGTTTATGAGGTTCTATGTGGCCAAATGCCTTCTGAATGCTCTTCTCTACCTGGTGCTGTTGTCCTCCCACCTCTCAGCTCCTGGCCGCTGGGGCCTCTCCCTCCTGCAAACATGCCAGGCCTGTCCCTCTGCCGGAGCAATTACTCATTCTGCCCAGATCCTCACCCCACCGACAGTTACCCGTCCACCTCATTCTTACCACTCAGCTTTCAACTTGAATAGCACAACCCCTTTTTCTCCCAATTTTACAAGCAGGGCCCTTATCGTGGTCAGGTAATCTTTTTGCTTATTTGTTCTTGTTTAACGCTACTTACTATAGTGAAAACTCTATGAGAACAGGAGGAGGTCTATCAAGCTCCTCAAGATGTTTGTAGTACTGGAACAAGACCTACCATCTAGAAAGCACTCAATAAATACTTGTTGAATTCTGCCAGAATCATTCAATTAGTTTCTAACTTGCTCTCAAGAGTTCCATGGGGACGGATATAGGGGTCACACATTTTCATGTACTTCACAGAACTTAAAAGCTACTTTATATCATTAAAAAAATAATGAGAATAGGGGAACCAGCAGTTAGCGTAATGGCTATGTCGCTGGACTCCCATGTAGTCGACCGTGGTTCGCGTCCCGGACCCGGTGGCTTAAAACTCACGCCTGGCGCGTGTGCGTGCGTGCCCAAGATCCCGAGAGGAGAATGGAGGAGAAGGGATTGCGGCGTGACCATCCCCCCTCGGGGGTGATTTCTCGCTTTCACTCCCTATGTCTCTCTCTGTCTGTCTGGCAAGCGCATGCGCCCTATAGCAAAAACCTCTCCAAAAAAAAAAAAAGAGAATAAATAATAATAATAATAATAATCTAAAAGATCATAATGAATATCATAATGAATAGCTATTTGATGATGATGTGGACAGTAACATCTTTGTCTTGACTGATATGCATGGTAATCGTGCTGGGAAAAGAAATGTAATACACTGTAAAGATATATGTGATTTAACGTACTATAAAAAAATTATGATAATAAATAAAATTAAATTTTAAGAAAGCTACTTTATACTGAACAAGGTATAAAGTTAGGAATAAAAAAATTTATGTTAGGAATAAAAAATTCATCATCAAGACCAGCAGATGGCATAATAGTTATGTCTCTGGATGCCCACATAGTTGGACACAGTTCAAGTGCCAGACCCGGTGGCTTAAAACTCACATTGGGAGTATGGCAAGCATGCCCAAGATCCCAAGAGGAGAATGGAGGAGACGAGATTGTGGTATGGCCATCCCCGCTGGGGAGTGATTTCTCACTTTCTGCCTCTCTGTCTCTGTCTCTCTGGCGAGTGAACATGCCCAATAGCAAAACTCTGGCCAAAAAAAAAAAAAATTGAGCATCATACTTGGTCTATCAAGTTATTCTTAAATCCATGGGGAGAATAACTCTACCTGGATCTCTCCCAAGAGTCCTCCAGTTCGCTCCAGCGCCAAGGATAAAGTCATTGTGGAATTGGGGTTAGGAACAGAAACGTTGCTTTGATTGAGAAATCTTACAACTCCAAAGGGAGAGTCACTCTGGGCGATCGTGAGTCTGCTCACTAGGTGGCGCCCAAGGACCGCTCCACCGGTAGCTCCAGTGAGCAGAATTTCAATGGCCTCTTCAAATTCACTGCATAACAAGGAGGAGCAAATTGTGAGTCTAAACATATTAAAGTGCTTGTAAAATCCAAATAACTAGTCATTTTCCAAATTGGTCATACATATTCAAGGCACAGTAGACACACAAGTGGTAAGAAGAGGGTGCTCAGCTAAAAGCTTCAACCATCAACATCAATTTTATTAAAACCTAGGGCAGTTATTAGATTTTTTTTTCTTCCCCCTTTTTAATTGTTTTATTCATTAGGAAAGTGAGTTGAAGGATGTTTCCACATTCTGATTAGACTTTTTAAATCTAGAGAAACGACTTATTTTCTTCTTGTGAGATGACGTGGCACATCCAACAACAATGGTCTCCCCGCTCCTCTCTTCCCCTCCAGGACCCCCAAATCTCTCTCCTGTTGTTTCTCAATGGGCAAAAATATTACTTAAAATTCTATTAGCAGTGCAAAACACATGTAAGGGTAAGAGCACAATATTCATACTCCGTGTGTGCCCCCGACAGGCCCTGTGTTACCGACCTTTCACTGTCATCGATGATGGAGACATTTATAAAACTCAGGTTCTGCCCATGCTGGAAGAGGACTGAACTGCCATGAAGCACAAAGTCCACACCTCCCGGGATGGCAGAGGAGCTCTGGGTGATGAAGTCGGCTGTCACCTTGCCGTAGGTTCCATGCAGCCTCACCACTGGAATCATGACCACCCCAACGTCCTCCTCCACTGGAATGTGAAGATGGAGTTAACTGGTGCATCGGACAAGGCAGTTCACTTTTATCACATTCAGTCAAACTGAATTTGGCAATTAAATATAATGGCACACGTGTGTGTGAGTCTAAAGTCCCAAAAGGAGAACGGAGGAGAAGGGATTGCAGCATGGCCATCCCCTCTGGGGGTTGATTTCTTGCTTTCTGTCTGTCTCTCTGGTGAGCACATGCACCACAGAGTAAAAATGTCTCCCAAAAACATGGCTACATGGAGCCAGCAGATGGTGTGAGGTTACGTTGCCGGACTCCCACATAGCTGACCATAATTCAATCCTGGACCCAGTGCTTTGAAAAATCATACTGGGTGCACGTATGTGCGTGGGTGCACGTATGTGCGTGGGTGCCCAAGTTCCCGGAGGAGAATGGAGGAGAAGGGATTGCAATGTGGCCATCCTGCTTGGGAGGGGGGGGGGGGATTTCTCACTTTCTCTCTCACTGTCCAACAATGAAACCAATAAATTAATAACACTAAAACAACATATCAATTTTAAATTTTATGCTCATTATGTTATGTTCATTATATTTAAAAGCTATGTTCATACGCTGCCTTTTAAAAAAGTCATTTCCTGGGACCAACAGATGGCGTAATGGCTGCATCGCTGGACGCCCATGCAGTCGACTGCGGTTCGAGTCCTGGACCCAGTGGCTTAAACTCATGCCAGGTGCGTATGCATGCATGCCCAAGATCCTGAGAGAAGAATGGAGGAGAAGGGATTGCGGTGTGGCCATCTGCCATGAGGGGTGATTTCTTACTTTCTGTCTCTCTGTCTCTTTCTGTCATTCTGGTGAGCGCATGTGCCCTATAGCAAAAACCTCGTAAAAAATAAATAAATAAATAAAGGCATTTTCTAGGAAAGTTATTGCAGCCCAGGAAGGAATATTGCCGTATATTTTGTATTCTGCTTCTACAGGGGGGAGAACTGGCGCTATTAGGCCAACAGCTATTAGGAAGTGTTTTGGGAAAGCAAACTCAAGGATCTAGATACAACCTACACCTGCAGTACAGTGGAATATTCATTACCGGTGGGCCAGCAGATAGCATAGCGGTTAGGTCGCTGGACTCACACATAGTCCACCACAGCTCAAGTCCCGTACCGGGTAGCTGAAAACTCATGCTGGGCATGTGTATGTGTGTGCCCAAAATCCTGAGAGAAGAAAGGAAGAGAAGGGACTGCAGCGCAGCCATCCCCCTAGGGGGTGAGTTCTCACTTCCTGTCTCTATCTCTCTGAAATGTGCACACCCTAGAGGAAAAAAAAAAAAAAAACTCTCTCTAAAAACAGTATTCATTACGAAAGTGATTATTTATTAGAAAGCAAATACTCACTTATTTCTAATCACAGAAACAATTTAAGACACTTAAGTTTAAGCATAATTTTTCTATTAATAGATGGCCTTGTCTCTAAACATTTAGCTTTATCATACACAGCAAGTTTCTAGACTACCCAAGGTAACTGGAGATATATTTTCAAAATAAAGAAATAAGTATAAAAGTGGCTATCTGAGTACACACACACTTACCCCATACCCCGAACCAAGAAGATTTACATATGGGAATTCAAGGTGAACGTCAGGCTCCAGATCTTTATGATTCAGAAAGTGGTGGTAAATTTATTTAAGTAACCTAAGTGTACCTACCTTCAAAGGCAGTATATTTTGGGTCAAATTCAATGATGCCTTCTGCATTATCATTTTTCATTATAGTAATTCGCAGGATGGAGATGTTTCCTATTTCGGGAGGTTGATCTATCTGAAGTCCGTTTTCTTGTATGGTAAAATCATACCCTCTTGCAAAGTCATAAAAAAAATGAAATATACACATGATTACTGAGCATGAACCAAAAGGTCCCGCAAGCACCTGTGGCTTAGTTCGATGAAACGAAATACTTTCAAAGAGTGTAATACTGATCCGACCAAGTACTCTCGTTTTCCTGAAATGCCGTTTTGAAACACACTTCTATGCTACTCCCAATTACTGTGCCTGTAACAAACCAAACCTGTGGCTGCAAAAACTGAGCAATGAAAAGATGAACTATTAGGAAATTAGAAGGAAGCTGTCATAAAACAAACCTCTGAGGATCACTGCTGAACACACAGACAGCAAACCAGCAGTATGTGAGCGGCAGAAGTCGGTTAAGGTATGAGAGTCACGTCCCCAGTCAGACGCCAAACCCACAGAGATTCAAGAAAACACCTGGATTCCAATGGAAACCATTCTAATCAATGCCTCTATCCTTGAATATAGTTTACTTGCATAATGACATAGTTTGGCAAAGAAAGTGTTTTCTTAGGTTGATACGATTCTCATCAAACAAATTTTTGACTTCCAGGGCTTTCTATCACTTTTAACTCATAAAGCTGAAAAGTGGAACTAAGCCATTTCAGTCCTTCCGTCGAGTCCCTAATTCTCCTTCCTGGTATTTACATGCTACCTAGTGCCGGAATGTTGGAAGCTGAGTAACAAGACGTTATGTATAAGGCAAAATTAGAAAAATGATGATTCGGGACCAGCAGTTAGCGTAATGGCTATGTCACTGGATTCCCACGTAGTCGACTGCAGTTTGAGTCCCAGACCCAGTGGCTTAAGCTCATGCCGGGCACATGTATGTGCATGCCCAAGATTCTGAGAGGAGAATGGAGGAGAAGGGACTGTAGCGTGGTCATCCCCTGTGCGGGGTGATTTCTCGCTTTCTGTCTCTTTGTCTCTCTCTGTCTTTCTGGCTAGTGCACGTGCCCCATAGCAAAAACCTCTCCAAAAAGAAAAGAAATTGCAAAAAACAGAAATTAGCATTTGTTACAATTGGCTTTCTAGGCTCTGTTCTACCATCATAAAGACAGAAAAAGCAGGGAGAGAAGTGTGGTATAGCTCTGTTATCCCTAATTGCTACACAGTAGAGCTTTACTCTTTTTCTCTCTTTCTGTTTTCTTTTTCCTAATTTTCTTTTTCCTTTACCTTCCCTGGAGTTCCACCTTTGTAATTGTGAGAGAAAATTCCTCAGGGCCTTCAGGATGATGATCATCAAGGATTTCAACATGGAGACTTTTCACTGTCTCCCTCGCTTCAAAGAGGAGCTCCCCAACCACAGGAACAAAGTCCAGGCCAGCCTCCGCCGTCCCACTCACAGTCTCATACCAGAGTCTCACGAGGCCAAAATGTCCACCTGAGCGGATGACCGTGATGTTAACCTGTGCAGAAAGCATTCTGTAATTTGATTTAGAAGTTGAATCTATCAGACAATGTTAATTCTAGTTAAAGATTCTTTTTTCCAGGATTGTGTTAAAACTACATGTAAAGTTATAAAATTATTTAAATTATATGTTCAAATAATGATAATGGAGGAAATTAATCAGTTTGGAATAGGAACAAGGAAACACATTCATTACGTTTTTTTTAAGAGACATTTTGGCTATAGGGTATGTGACAGAGACAGAGAGAGAAAGAGACAGAAAGTGAGAAATGATGCCCTAGAGGGGCTGGCTACGTTGCAATCCCTTCTCTTCCATTCTCCTCTCCAGATTTTGGGTGTACACACACACACATGCACACACATAAATGCATGCATGCCTGGCGTGAGTTTAAGCTGCCAGGTCTGGGACTCGAACCACAATCGACTACACTGGAGTCTAGCGACGTAACCATTATGCCATCTGCTGGTCCCAGACCAAGAAAACGCATTCAAAGATCATTCACAACATCAAAAACAAAAATGCTACTAGGATAGTGAGCATGTCACACTGTACCCTCTGTGCCTCCTCTGACACGCGAAGCTGCTCATGTGAGAAGGCAAAGCGGCCATAGGGAGAGTCACTGGCCACCATGGTGACGTTGGCGGTGCTGCTGGACGCGCTCAGCACCCCGCCCTCGCTGACCGCAGTGAGCCGGAACTCATAGAGACGCTTTTCCTCGGGAATGTCATCATTCAAAGCCTGGAGAAGCACAAAAAGAGTTAACAGCGGACTCTGTAAAATGTGAAGATCAATGTCTGTCACATAAACAATGACAAACTGCAACACTCACCTCCCTCCCACCCCTTATCCAACACACACACACACACACACACACACACACACACACACACAGTTTCAGAAACCAGCAACGATACCTGGATCACGACAATGGCCGCAGACTGCCCGTCTCTCATTGTCAGTTTTCCCGATGTCTCAGCGAATTCCCCTACGGAAGGAGGGAAGAGCCTCCAAAAGACTGTGATCTCCCCCAAAATCCCTGGGCCACGAACAAGGCTGCAAAATACAAATGTATATTTGATACATTTTTATAGAACAAACTTTTCCTAAATTCTTGCTGTGTCTTTCGACAGTAACCGACTTGCATTTAGTTCAAGAACGTGATACATAAAAATAACCTCATCTATCAACTATAAAGCGAGAGAAAGTTGTACGATTCTAAAGTAGTGACACCCGACGTACTGAGCGAGTGCAAATCTATCTTGACAAGAACACTGGCAAAAACTGAACACCAAAGATGAAAGGAATAAAAAGAAGGATCTATAGTCTTTCCATTTAATACACAAAAGTACAAAATAAAATTACCTAACAGGACAAGCAGGTGGTATGGAGGCTAAGTGCTGGATCCACACGGCCAACAGTTACGAGTCCTGAACCAAGTGGCTTGAAAAACACACGAGGGACAAGTGTGTGCCCAAAATCCCAAAAGGAGAAAAAAAGAAGGGATGGCAGTGTGGACATCTGCTGGGGGGACTTCACTTTTCCTCTGTCTCTGTCTCTGTCTCTCTCTCCCCTCTCTCTCTCTCTCTCTCTCTGTCTCTCTGAGGAGTGCACATACCCAATAACAAAAATTTAAAAAAAAATGAAAAAGAGAAAAATAGCCTAACAAAGTTCCCTAAATAACAGTAAACACTTCATACATGCACAGGTCAGTAGAACAAAAGAGGTACTAACTCCGGATAACTCCATAGGATAAAGTATTCGGTCACATCCCGCTACTTTACTGACAGTTGCTGTCCCATTCCTCTAAAGAAAATTGGGGAGAAACCAATTTTCCTATCATCACAGGAATTTGGTTATAGAACAGGCCCTGATGTTAGAACACTTAGAATCAAATAGTTGGATCTTGGCAATCTTCGAAGGAATGCTTTTGTGGCCAAGACACACAAACTTACAGAGATGAGGTAATTCTCCATTATCGCACACGTTTTGTGACCGAATGAGCTCAACTCCACGTGCATTTCTCAGCATAGGTGGTGCACATCACCCAGGAATAAGAAACCCTGTCATCTAACTTTGAGATAGATTAGGATAGGGGCCAGTCGGTGGCATGGTGGATAGGGTGCTGGACTCCCACATGGCCAACCACAGTTCGAGTCCCCTGGATCACGACAATGGCCGCAGACTGCCCGTCTCTCATTGTCAGTTTTCCCGATGTCTCAGCGAATTCCCCTACGGAAGGAGGGAAGAGCCTCCAAAAGACTGTGATCTCCCCCAAAATCCCTGGGCCACGAACAAGGCTGCAAAATACAAATGTATATTTGATACATTTTTATAGAACAAACTTTTCCTAAATTCTTGCTGTGTCTTTCGACAGTAACCGACTTGCATTTAGTTCAAGAACGTGATACATAAAAATAACCTCATCTATCAACTATAAAGCGAGAGAAAGTTGTACGATTCTAAAGTAGTGACACCCGACGTACTGAGCGAGTGCAAATCTATCTTGACAAGAACACTGGCAAAAACTGAACACCAAAGATGAAAGGAATAAAAAGAAGGATCTATAGTCTTTCCATTTAATACACAAAAGTACAAAATAAAATTACCTAACAGGACAAGCAGGTGGTATGGAGGCTAAGTGCTGGATCCACACGGCCAACAGTTACGAGTCCTGAACCAAGTGGCTTGAAAAACACACGAGGGACAAGTGTGTGCCCAAAATCCCAAAAGGAGAAAAAAAGAAGGGATGGCAGTGTGGACATCTGCTGGGGGGACTTCACTTTTCCTCTGTCTCTGTCTCTGTCTCTCTCTCCCCTCTCTCTCTCTCTCTCTCTCTGTCTCTCTGAGGAGTGCACATACCCAATAACAAAAATTTAAAAAAAAATGAAAAAGAGAAAAATAGCCTAACAAAGTTCCCTAAATAACAGTAAACACTTCATACATGCACAGGTCAGTAGAACAAAAGAGGTACTAACTCCGGATAACTCCATAGGATAAAGTATTCGGTCACATCCCGCTACTTTACTGACAGTTGCTGTCCCATTCCTCTAAAGAAAATTGGGGAGAAACCAATTTTCCTATCATCACAGGAATTTGGTTATAGAACAGGCCCTGATGTTAGAACACTTAGAATCAAATAGTTGGATCTTGGCAATCTTCGAAGGAATGCTTTTGTGGCCAAGACACACAAACTTACAGAGATGAGGTAATTCTCCATTATCGCACACGTTTTGTGACCGAATGAGCTCAACTCCACGTGCATTTCTCAGCATAGGTGGTGCACATCACCCAGGAATAAGAAACCCTGTCATCTAACTTTGAGATAGATTAGGATAGGGGCCAGTCGGTGGCATGGTGGATAGGGTGCTGGACTCCCACATGGCCAACCACAGTTCGAGTCCTGGACCTGGTGGTTTCCTTTCTCACTTTCCTTCTCTCGCTGATCAAATTAAAATATTAATAATAAATAATTCTTTTTAAAAAGATGTATAGGATATGTTTTCAAATTCTGCCAAAAATATATTATTTCTCTCCCACAGGATGTTACCAATATGTAAAATGAAATTCTGAAAGACTATGGATGTACTGGGAACGATGTATTGGGTTGTTGGAAACGTCACAGTGTATTTGCCTGTTTTTCTGTGCAAAGATGCGTCACGACTTTTCTGGCAACTCAATATTTAAGGCTAATTATTTACATAAAACTTCACAACCCGCACAGACGCAAAGGAAAACGATGAGCCCGTACCTAATGATGGCAGTGCCATTGTATCCTGCAGAGGGCTCCCCGATGAAGACGTGTCTGGATGACGGAGCTACCCCAACTTCTCCCGAGGCACCTTTATCTCCCCGAATGATTATAGACGCACTGCCTACGGGGAACAAGAGAAGCCTGCTTTGTGGCAAACACAGGTGTGCACTGAGTACCTGCCTGGCAACCTTCTAAGTGCCTTTCATGTACTGACCTAATTAATCCTCCCAACAATCACGAAGTTAGACATGAACACTATCTTCACATCTCCCCTGAGAACGCTGACATAGACTAAGGCAGGGAAGTCACTGAGGCAAATAACTTGCCCAGGTCGCTCTTTAATGACAGAGGAAGGGGGTCGGCAGGTGGTGTGGTGGTTAAAGGCACTGGACTCTCACATGACCAACCATGGTTCAAGTTCTAGACCTGGTGGGTTCCTTTCTCACTTTCCCTCCCTCCCTCTCTTTCTGTATCTCTCTGATCAAATTGGAGAACTGCAATAATAATTAATAAAGTTAAAATAAAATAATTCTTTTAAAAAAATGACAGAGGCAGGAAGAGTGGGTAATCGTTTCACTACCACTGCCAGGATAAATAAGGGCTCTTCTAGGGCAGGGACTCACTTCTACAGTAACCACTTTGCAGCTCATGGAGACCATGTGGCTATGTCAACCAGTATGTGGAAAAAACAAGATTCCTGGAGGGGCGGCCTTTAGTTTTCCAGTTCTACCATTTGACAATGAGCATTTATAAAAGTGTATCATATATTTCCACTATAATGGAAATAACAACTACAGCAAAAGAAAAAAATGGGATTACACTGAACATGTCTAAAGCCTGCTTCAGTGGCATACATAACAATTATCCATAGAACTAAGAGTTCTCAATCTAATGTAATCTTTGACCAATGACTCTACCAATATTTCATTACACTCTAACTTCAACCATTCTTTACCTATAGTACAAGTAGAAAACCTCATCTTTATGTTTCAGAAAATATCTTAGTAATTATAAAGCCTAACATTGCTTATCTCTGCAACTATTATTTGCTTACATTTTTCTAAGGATCTAACTTAATTTCCAAAAATGTGAATTTCTCTTACCTCTTACTGGAGATATTTCTACCTCATCAATTGATTGCAGTTGAATGGTGAAACGCCTGTATTCGTCCAACACGGTATCTTGGAGTGGATGCAAGACAATGGTCTTCTGGGACTCATTCTACATCAAACAAAAATAATAAATTTTCCAGAGTGATCAAAGTTAAATTTTCAATGTTCTCATTAGCAGAACAATGTTTATATCCATACACATTTTTAAAGTGTGTTCTTGGGGACAGCAGGTGGTTTGATGGTTGAGGCACTGAACTCTCACATGGCCTACCATGGTTCAAGTCCCAGATTTCATGACCTGCTTTCTCACTTTTCTCTCTCTTGCTTTCTCTCTCTGAGGAGTGCACAAGCCCTGTGGCAAAATTTAAAAACAATAATAAAGGACCAACAGGTGGCATAGTGGTTAAGGTGCTGGACTCCCACATGGCCAACCACAGTTCGAGTCCTGGACCTGGCAGCTTGCTTTCTCACTCTCTCTCTCTCACCTATGTGTTCTATAGCAAATTAAAAAGAGTAATAATAACAAATAAACATAAATAAATAATTCTTTACCAAACCAAATTAAATAAATAATTCTTCCAAAATATAAAATAAATAAAGTGTGTTCTTTAAGTTAGAGATAGGCCAGCCCATAGCACTGCGGTTAAGTGTTGTGTATAGGAAACTGGATTCCACATGGCTGACTGCAGTTTGAGTCCTAGTCTTAATGACTTTAAAAGCATGCCAGGTGCTGGGACCAGCAGATGGTGTAATGGTTACATCAGTGGACTCCCACGCAGTCAACCATGATTCAAGTCCCAGATCAGTTAGCTTAAAACTCATGCCGGACGCGTGTGTTGTGTGCCCAAAATCCCAAGAAGAGATTGGAGGAGAGGGAATTGTGTCATGGTCATCTCCCCTGGGGGGCAATTTCTCACATTCTCTCTGTCTCTCTGGCAAGCACACGCGCCCCTATAACGAAAATCTCTCTTAAAAAAAAAAAAAAAAAAAAAAAAGCCAGGTATTTGCCTAAATGCTAACTGAAGAGACAAGAAAAAAGATTGCAGCAGACCACCACCTTCTGGGGGCAAGAGGGTGCCTCCTCTCTCACACACATACTTTGGCAAGTGCACACGGCCTCTGGCAATTAAACAAAAAAAGTGAGCGATGGCACCTTCCCAGCTAATAAAAGACTATGAAAGGTAGTAATGAAGGGGCCTGACTTATAAGACGATTCAGGCTTCCCATTCAAGGTCCTGGTATTTTGTACATACATTTCAGTTTTCTTTTACTTTCACCTTTAATATTTTGTTTTTGTTTTCACGTAGGTCTGACGTCCTACTAACTGGATGTATTCTTAGTCACTTCACAGTTTTTCTCACAGTAATGTTATTCATTTTATTTATTTTTCATTACTTTTTTTTCTTGGACCTTGGTTGCGTAGTAAGATTGATTCTGCTTCTATCTGTAGCACTGTTTCTATTGGACAAGTAGTCATTTATTTTTATTTATTATTTTTAATAGCCAAAGAGCGTATGCACAAACTAGAGAGAGACAGAGAGTGAGAAAAGGAGAGGCAGAAAGCAACTCCCCCTGGAACGCAGTTACGTTGCAATCCCTTGCCCTCCACATTTCTCATCCCATCAGGATTTTAGGCACACGTGCACATGCACCAGGCATGTTTTCAAGCTGTCTGGTCCAGGATTAGAACCACAGCCAGTCAAGTGGTATCCAGCTCCCTTAACCACTAAGCTATGGAACCAGCCCTCTGTTTATCATTTTACCCCGTTTGTTTATCCTTTGCAGCCCCAAACCTTGAAATTCTCATCCCGTCACTCACTCTTCAATGCATTGTGTCTGCTGCTTAATTTCCCTCCAGTATATACTGCTGAGGTCATCCATGGTTCTGTTTATAGATTTAGCTTATTCTTTTCATTGCTGTGAGATTTCATTATTTGCATTTATATTACTTGCATTCTTTATGAAGAGATAATCATTTACTATTACAAATAACAATGCCGTGAACATTCTTGTACATACTTCTTTCTGTGGGAAAGAATTTTTTCAGATGCTACTGATTTTATGGCAATTCTCATTATTCTTGTATTCCTTATTTGGGAATTCACCTAGATTTGTGAAAATGTATTTGTAATGCCAAATTCAGTTCGCAGGCACTTCTGTGATCCTTTACGGACATGTGCATATTGGCAAAAAAGTAGAGAATGCTAACACACTTTCACATCAAATAAGCACTATGACTTGTGCCTGCATGATGCTTATCTAAGCATTTTCTCCTCAGATCATACTGTAGCCTTCGTTCACTTTGGAACACTCGACTTCAGCACTAGCATTTTAAACAGGGAAATCAGCAAACATGAGTTTGGAAAGGGAAAAAAGAAGACACTAACTAGACTGTAAAAAAAGACATTTATTTACAGTTTGAGAATGGAAGCAAGAAGTCAGGGCATTGCCTTGTTCGACCTCAACTGGGAACATGGGAATCAGGTGAATCAAACTTCTTAGCACTCTTCATATGCCCACAAATGGCCTTCAAGCACTGCTGATTTGGGAGTTACAGATAAATGTTACTGCATAGGCAAATTCTCAAATGTGAGTCCATAAGGACCGACGATATCTGAATACCAAGAACCAATTGAATTTTTATAAATTTGTATCACTCTCCACTTTATTCCTATTGGTTCTTCAGAAAAGTCATGAAGCATTTTTGCACAGAAAAACATAGAAAAAATATGTCATGACTTTGCCAATGACCCAATACATACATAAGGCATCTTTGTGTATCATACAGTTTCCATCTCTCAAAGAAACTGGCACCAAGGGGAAAATGATGACTACAGAAGGCCTTCCCCAATCTATATTTCTGGAACTTTGATGTCAAAAAAACACTAATGAATGTTCTAGGATGAAAAGATGCTGGGGGTGTGTACGACCACGACTGGAAAGCAGAAACCCTCAGCGACTGCCAAATCCTCCCAGCACAAGATCAAGGGGCAGTTCAGCAAAGCCTACCCTGATTCTAGGCAGAACAACGATACTACCGAACAGATCTCAAGTCAAATTAAATCGAGAACGCAAATCTTTCAAGGGAATGAGGTGGAGGCTTGCTTTTATATTAAAAGCTACCAGCATCCTCCTTGCAAGGCCCATGACATTTTTAAAGGAATTTGGTTATAGAGTTTTAAGCAAACCGTTCTAAGGAGTCTATACATGGCATTTATTCTTATTCTTCTTATTATTATTATTTACATTTATGTAATTCTAGAGGATCATGTACTCATAAGGGATGAGGCAGGCCACGGCGACCCCAGGCCTGAGCCGCGGCCTACCCAGTCAGTTTGGAACCACGCCATTCTCTACCGGAACAGAGAGTGCTTTGCCCAATCAAATCAGCATCCTTGTTTACACAGCAGATCCGTAGCATTAGCAAGAGGATAAGCTGTGGGAACAGACGTCAGGTCATAAGTGGATGTGATGCTGGCACCACACACAGCCAATCACCCTGGGGAACAATCTGAAGGCTGAGATGGACAAGCACCGCCTCGAGCTCCAGAAGGAGCATGCCAACCACTCATTCATCGAGCTGGAGAAGTTGCCCAAGAAGCAAGTGGTTCTCATAGAACAGGAGGCGAAGTAGCTGCGGCAGATGAGAGGAGGTTCCAGCAACAGCTGTTGGCCCAGAAGAAGAAAGATTTGACAGCTTTTGGAGCTGGCTGGTGGCGTGGTGGTTAAGAGCGCTGAACTCCCACATGGTCAACCATGGTTTGAGTCCCAGACCTGGCGGCCTGCTTTCTCACTTTCTCTCTCTCACACTCTGTCCCCTTCTGGTCAAATTTAAATAAATAAATACATACATACATAAAAAATAAATTAAATAATTCTTAAAAAAAAAAAAAAGAAAGATTTGACAACTTTCTTAGAAAGCTGGAAGAAATAGTATAAGATCTATAAGGAAGAAACTAAGAGAAAATGAATGAGGACCATAGCTCCCTCAAGAAAGAAAAGCAAAAGCAGAGATCCAAGCATAAAGAGAACTAGCAGCACACAAAGGCTGGGGCAGAAGCCCACCTCTCACTCAGCAGCTGATGAAGCAGCATGAGGTGGGGCAGCAGAACATAGGAGAAGAACTACTGATAAAGGAGGAGACGACCCAGGAGGAGACAGCGCATGCCGTGCTAAACTAATCCTGCACAATGAGTCTGCCCAGAGCTCCAGGACCGGTGGCTGCACATGGACAGAGCTACGCAGGGGTCTGATTCATCTTTAGCACAAGACTGAACTGGAAAACGAGCTGGAGTACAGGAAGAGGCGAGAAAGGAACTGCGCAGAAAGCCTGTCCTGGGACTTCAGTAACAGCCAAAAAGATTGAAGGCCGTGGAAATGCAAATTAAAAATCTGCTTCAGGACTCTTACAAAGTACAGACTAAACCCTAGAAAGCACTCAAGAATCACTGGTTGGAAGTTACTCCAAAGAATGAGCACAAAATGAACTAAAAGACACGGAGAGGTGAGCAGACAAGCAAACTTGCCATTTCGGCAGAGCAGTAGGGAGAAAGCACGCATGATGGCCTCTCAAGCGTCATGGCTAGACGAGGCTCAAGAAGCGCAATGCCAGGCCTTGAGGCTATGGCTCCAGCAGGAAATGGAGCTACCTCATGCCTGCAAGCAAAATCAAGAAGCAGACAGGGACACACCACGAGCATTAGCTCCAGAAGCTAGAGCAGAGGGTGTCTCCACGCAGAGCACATCTTAAGCAGAAGACTGAAGCGCAGCAGGCTGCCCTCAGAAAGAATGCAGCCAGAGAATAAAGTACCTACTGGAAAGGCCAGGGCAAGAGATTGAAACTTAACGCGGAGAGCCTCAGAATGGGATTTGTGAATGTAGTCGCACTAAATTTTCTTTCCTTTTCTTTTCTTTTATTGGAGAGGATTTTTGCTATAGGGCGCGTGCACTCACCAGACAGAGACAGAGAGACAGAAAGCGAGAAATCACTCCCCGGGGGGGGGGGGGGGGGGCGCGCCCAACCCAT